TGTCTCTGTGTTTTGGGTGGATCTGGATGATGCCTCCCTGTTTTAACAGCTATCTCACCCACTCAGATCCATTATCTTTGACTGTATGCATTCCCCCATCTCTCCAGTATGAGACTAAGAATTAGGGGTCAGCTTTGAGTCTTTACTCGCATTTCTTTCATGGTTGCAGGAAGTGTTTCTTTTTTTCCATTTCCCCTCACTTTTATTCTGTATTTTAAACAAAATTTCTTCTGTAATAAGCTTTACTATTATTTTTGCTACATCTTTTGCATCTTGCTTGATTTCTTTTCCTGCCAGAGGCAACAACAGAGGTAATTAATCATCAATGCTATTTTTCTGGTAACAAGATCATATGATAACTAGGTAGACCATGGTTTGTTAGGGTACCTTTGAGGCCTGCAGCCCACTCAGCCTGAAACCGGCCATGGCTAACATGACCCAAGCTGCCACTTACTGGAACTAAGGGAGGTAGGATGGTTTCTGGGAACAGGGATGGTTTCTGGTTAATCTTGCTAAATGGTATGTGAGTCAATGAGTTAAGACACCTGGTGTTTATCAAGTTCCTGATAAGTAATCTTCAAGTAATCTTGCCCCACCACCAGGATGTGGGTGACATCAGAAATATGTGACCCCAGGGGCCATAAAAATTGCTGTGTGACCATGACTAATGTCTAAAAAATATAAAAGCAGCCTGAACTTTGCATTTGGGGTCCTTGTTGAAACCCACTGCATTGGGTGGATACCCAAACCCCAGCTGGCTGGAAATAAACCACTCTTTGTGGCTTACATTATCCTGAGTGTCTTTTGTTCCTCTGAGGGGTGGTCAACCTCAGAACCCAACATCTGGAGGTCCCACCGAGATCTCAGCCCCTCCCTGAGAGGAACAAATGGCCTCCAATACTGAGGTTTAGTTGAGAAAGACCACGGAAGGAGGATTGGCCACCTCCGTTTGGAGGGACTGAGAGTCCCCGTCTGATTTTGGTTGAGAATTCTCATTGAGTGGAAGGAAGGGGTTACAGCCCTGCAGGCTTCACTATTGGAAGTCATGGGAGACATCCCTGATGATCAGGAACCATGCCGACATCCTCAGTGGACACCGTTTGGGCGGTCTTTGGGTAAGGATCCTGAATCTGGTGTGAATGGAATTGCGCCTGTGAGAGTAGTCTGGTTGACCGGCCGGTACTTGTGCATGTTAGAGAGTCCTGTGCAAATTTGTTTGTCTGCTGAATTGTCTTTCTTGTTCTTTGTTGTCTCCTCTGTCCCTCTCTCTGGATCATCATGGGATGGGCTCAGGTAACTCCTAAGACCCTCTTTCTGAGTCATTTTTCAGAAATCCATGCTAAGGGACACAATTATGGTGTGGAAATTAAGGAAGGTAAGTTTAACACCCTTTGTTCAGCAGAATGGCCAACCTTCAATGTAGGCTGGCCTCCTCAAGGTACCTTCTCCTTGGACACAATTAAGAAGGTCTGAGACATCATTAATAGACCCGGTCTTCACGGCCACCCTGATCAGTATCCCTATATCCTTATGTGGCAGACTTTAGTAGAGGACCCTCCTTCCTGGCTGCGGCCATTTATCCACGAGTCACCTACAGACCGGCCCGCGATACTGGCCGTGTCAGGGAACACCCCCACTCCCGTTAATTCCCTTAAGAAGCCTATTCTGCAGGAAGAACTGACTCACTGTCCATCCTTGATAGACTTAGATTTTGAAGTAAATCCCCTGCCATATGCCTCTGCCACACTGTTCCAGCCAGAGGCAGCTGGCCCTCCTGAGCCTCCCCACTCGTCAGCCTCCCCGTCTGCACCCCCTGCCCCAGTCTCTGGACTGGCAAGGGGACTCAGGCCCCGTAGACAGTGAGAGGAAACCCCAGAGGAGGAGCCCTCCTCCACTTCCACCAGGGCCCCCATCTTCCCAGTGCAGGCCTTGGGTGGTGCTGGTACCGATGGGGGATGAACCTATCAGTATTGGCCTTTTTCAAGAAGTGACCTGTACAACTGGAAAGCCCAGAATCCTCCCTTTTCTGAGTACCCTAGAAGCCTGACTGATTTGTTTGAGTCCATTTTGCATACTCACAGTCCCACCTGGGATGACTGTCAGCAGCTCCTTAAGAGTCTATTCACCACCGAGGAACAGGAGCAGATTCTCACTGAAGCCAGAAAGAATGTCCCCGGCGACAATGGATGACTGACCACCCTGCTGAACCTGATTGATGATCGTTTTCCTTTAAACAGACCCAACTGGGACTATGGGGTCACAGAAGGTAGGGAGCGTCTCTGGGTCTACCACCAGACTCTTATGGCAGGCCTCCGGGTGGCAGCTCACCACCATACCAATTTGGCTAAGGTAAAGGCAATAATGCAGGGGGAAAATGAAAGCCCAGCTGCATTCCTTGAGCATCTTTACAATGCATACAGACAGTATACCCCTCTAGATCCACTAGCAGAGGTGAATCAGTCAGCCTTGATAATGTCCTTCATAAGTCAGGCTGCCCCAGATATCAGGAAGAAACTATATAAGCAGGAAGGACTTGGGGAAATGACTATCCAGGATCTGATGAAAGTAAACGAAAGGGTTTTTAACACCCAAGAAACCCCAGAAGAACGAGAGGATAGAATCAGGAAGGAGAATCAGGAACTACAAGAAAGGATTTGGAAGGAGGAAAGGGAACACCAGAATAAGGAAAACAAGAAACAGCAAAAAGAGATGGCTAAGATATTGCTAGCAGGACTCCAGGGTCTGGCCAGACCGAGTTCTGGATGGACCGGCCCCACACGTCCCCTGAAGAGTTCGACCCAGGCTAGACCAGAGACAATGTGCCTATTGTAAAGGAATATGGACACTGGAAGAAGGAATGTCCCAAACTCCAGGGTCGCCCGGGACCAAATAGCAGGCCCAATAATGACGCCCGGTCCTGTTAGCTGGAATGGACAGTGACTAGAGGGCACGGGACTCGGACCCCTTCCCCGAGTCTTGGGTAACCATATATGTGGAGGGGAAGCCCGTGAGATGCATGGTGGACACAGGGGCCCAATATTCAGTCCTTAATAAACCTACTGAGCCACTGTCCCAGAAAATTAGTCTCATGCAGGGAGCCACTGGGTCCAAGGCATATCAATGGACTAGCAAGCATCAGGTGGATTTGGGCTGACATCAGCTGACCCATTCGTTTCTGGTCATTCCTGAGTGCCCTACCCCCCTTCTGGGATGTTATCTGCTAACTAAGGTGAGGGCTCACATTCACTTTGAGCCAGACGGTATCAAAGTGACAGATGGACAAGGACAGCCCCTCCAAGTCTTGACCATGTCTCTCGAGGATGAACATCGCTTGTTCTCCTTGTGGGACCCTCCCCCAAAACCTATTAGGTGGCCCCCTGAAATGGCTTATTGGATTCAAACCTACCCCCAGGCTTGGGCAGAAATAGCAGGTGTGGGGCTAGTGGAACATCAAGCCCCAGTAATAGTAGAAATCAAGGCTTCAGCTCAGCCCATCCGAGTCTGTCAGTATCCCATGTCTTCCGAGGCATGGAGGGAGATTGCCCCTCACATTAACCGTCTCCTGGAGGCTGGAATATTACAGCCCTGCCATTCTGCTTGGAACACTCCACTCCTCCCCATTAAGAAACCCAGGGGAAAAGACAGTAGGCCAGTCCAAGATTTAAGGGAAGTAAACAAGAGGGTCGAGGACATCCACCTCACAGTCCCCAACCCCTATACCTTGCTGAGCCATTTGCCACCCCCATGTTTGGTATACCACTTTGGACTTGAAAGATGCTTTTTTTAGCATAGCCCTGGCACCCAACAGTCAACACATTTTTCCTTCGAATGGCAAGATGAAAATACGGGAAACCCTGGACAGCTAACATCAGGATCTGGACTCATATCGCCAGAGCCACAGTTCTGTCACACTTTTGCAGTATGTAGATGACTTTCTTCTGGCAGCTTCATCTGAAGCTGAGTGCTGGCAAGCCACTGGAGACCTCCTCCAGGAGCTGGGGAAGTTGGGCTATCGGGCCAGTGCAAAGAAGGCTCAAATTTGTAGACAGTCACCTACCTGGGGTATGAACTAAAAGAGGGAACCAGATGGTTAACGAATGCTATGAAAGAAACTATTCTCAGACTCCCTGTCCCCACCTCGGCTCAAGAAGTCCACGAGTTCCTGGAGATGGCGGGCTACTGCCAGCTGTGGATATTGGGGTATGCTGAACTGGCAAAACCCTTATATGAGGCAACTAAGGACAAGGCCCCTTGGGCCTGGGGGCCAGATCAACAAAAGGCCTTTGAGAAGCTTAAGACTGCCCTCCTGAGAGCCCCGGCCCTGGCACTGCCAGACCCTCTAAAGCCCTTCACCCTCTTTGTAGATGAAAGAAGGGGGATAGCAAAAGGGATACTAATGCAGCGCCTAGGGCCCTGGAAGCATCCAGTTGCTTATCTATCCAAAAGGTTAGACCCAGTTGCAGTGGGCTGGCCCCCATGCCTGCAGATCATAGTGGCAGTTGCCCTAATTGTAAAGGATGCAAATAAGCTCACTTTTGGGCAACATCTGAAGGTGGTAACCCCCAATGCAGTAGATGGGGTCCTAAAGCACCCTCCAGGTAGATGGATGACCAATGCCCAACTCATTACCAAGGACTCTTGCTGGATATTCCCCACATCCTCTTCTCCAAACCAGTGTCTCTGAACCCCGCCACCTTGCTGCCAAATCCGGACCTGGAAGCCCCTCTACATGACTGTCAGGAGATCATAGCTGAAATCACCCAAGTGCTCCCCGATCTCCAGGACTCAGCCCTACCCAACAGTGAGCTGGTATGGTATACAGATGGGAGTAGCTTCATCTCAGATGGGGTGCATAAGGTGGGTGCAGTGGTGGTGGACCAAGGTGGGAACATAATTTGGAGTGCCCCGTTGCCCCTGGGGACCTCAGCCCAGAAGGCCAAGTTGATCATGTTGACAGAGGCACTCGAGCAGGCTAAGGGAAAACGAGTGACTGTTTATACCGACAGCCTTTACACTTTCGGCACTGTCCATGTACATGGCGCCATCTACCGGGAAAAGGGTTTCATTACAGCAGAAGGAAAGGAGCTTCATAACCTCCCGGAGATCCAGAGACTATTGACTGTGATGCAGAAGCCCCAAGCTGTTGCAGTAATACATGTTTCTGGTCACCAATCTGCCCAGAATCCAGAAGCTATGGGGAACCAGCGTGCAGACGAAGTGGCCCAAAATGCTGCTTTGGCCTCCATGACTCTAGCGCTGACCTTACCCGTGCCTGAGCTTCCACGCTTGCCACCGCAACCCAAGTACACCCCGGAAGACAAACAGTGGATCCAAGATCACTGATGCCCAGAGCCCAATCAGCAAGGCTGGTATAGTGATATCGAAGGGCAGCTGATCCTTCCTGAAAAGTTAGGACTGTTTCTCCTCTCCAATTTACATTGAGCCAACCATTTAGGCAAGAAGAAACTACTTGCCCTCCTTGAGTCGGCCTGCCTCCGGTTCTCTCACCAAACAGCCCAGATTCAAAAGATTGTGGACCAATGTGCTGGGTGCCAGGCTATGAAACCCAGCAAAAAGGGACTCCTACATACAGGTACATGGGTATGGGGGAGGGTGCCGGGATGAAGCTGGGAAGTGGATTTTACTGAAGTGAAGCTGGGAAGGTATGGGTATAAGTATTTGTTGGTTCTGATAGACACCTTCTCAGGCTGGGTGGAAGCCTTTCTTACAAAACGAGAGACTGCCCAGGTTGTAGCTAAGGTTTTTCTGGAGGAAATCATACCCAGATATGGCATCCCTGAAACTCTAGGCTCTGATAATGGTCCGGCTTTCATCAGTAATGTCCTATAAGGAGTGGCCTGGGCAGTGGGGACTAATTGGAAACTACATTGTGAAAATTAGCCCCAGAGCTCAGGGCAGGTAGAAAGAATGAATCAGACCCTGAAGGAGACCTTATCTAAGTTAACCATCGAGACTGGCGGAGACTGGGTGGCCCTCCTACCCTATGCCATCTTCCGGGTTCAAAATTCACCATATGTACATGGATTGACACCTTTTGAAATTTTATACAGGGCTCTGCCCCCCATTGTTGTCTGAACCCTACTGGACCAAGACCCCAGTACAGCCCCAAATTACTTGGCCAGCTTAAAAGCCCTACAGGAGGTCCAACATGAAATCTGGCCCATAGTGCACGCCTTGTATGAGACAAAGGACACATCAAACCCAGAACATGGCATCGTCCCAGGGGATTGGGTATGGGTAAAGAGGCACAGAGCCCGCACTCTGGAAGAAAGATGGAAAGGTCCTTACCTGGTCATTCTGGTTACCCCCACTGCTCTTAAGGTTGACGGCATCGGGCCTTGGGTCCATCAGTCCCATGTGCATCAAGCCAGTCAGCAAGAACAGAAAGATGCTAGGGAGTGGACCGCATGGTGGCACCCAGATAACCCATTGAAGCTGAAGCTTTTGCGACCCCGGGTACATGCAGAGTCTTCAAGAGCAGCCACGGATAGGTTGGCTGGTCGCTCTGATCTTGCTCAACACCCAGAGCAGGAGCCTCGCAGAAACCAACCCTCACCAGCCCTACAGGCAAACCTGGATATTCACTGACGGGGAGACCCATACCACCCTTAACGAGACTACTCACACTGCCCCCATAGGAACTTGGTGGCAGGAGCTTCAATTCTGCTTTAGAGACATCAATCCTGCCTACAAGTCTACTGCCCCAGAGTCAGCCCGACGTTATGGTTTTTATGCTTGCCCCAGCCACAAAAAGAACAAGGACTGTGGGGGATACAATACTCCTTCTGTAAGTCATGGGCACGTGTCACATCCAACGATGGTGAATGGAAGTGGGGGATATCAAAACCAGACCTAGTCAAATTTGCCTTTGTAAACGGGGTATCCTGGGGGCGCAGAATTCCGTTACCCACCCATGAATGCCAGCCCACAGATACAGATACAATCATGGTCACTTTCACTGACAGTGGCAAAGAGGACACCCCTGGGTGGATACAAGGCAAGGTGTGGGGACTTGTGTTTTATAAATATGGTAGACATTCTGGCTCAACCATAGTAATCAGATTAAAAGTTGAACCCATGGGGCCACTGTCCAAAATGGTAGGCCCCAAGAAAGTACTCAAGCTCCCTATGTAGAGCCGCCTCTCCCATCTCGCACAACCCCAGTCCCTACCCGGCCTCACACAAAGGCTAGTATTAAAACTCCAGGACCATTAGGCACCGGCCCTTCCTTGGTGAAGCCCAGTCTCATGACTGGGTCCACAGACCCCCTCTGGAATTTGGTAAATGCTGCATTCCTAACATTGAACCACACCAACCCTAATATGACTACCTCCTGCTGGCTGTGCTATGATGTGAGGCCCCCATTCTATGAGGCAATAGGGCTAAATGTCACCTACAATGTCTTGACTAGTGAAAACCCCACCCAATGTTCCTGGGGAGACCGTAAGAGAGGTCTGACCATACAACAAGTGAGCAGCCAAGGAACCTGCTTAGGGAAGGTGCCAGCGGAAAAACAGGACCTATGTGCTGCTATAGATAACAATCCCACCTGGGGTGATGGTATTAAGTGGGTAACTCCAAAAGGCAATGGATGGTGGGTATGCTCACAGTCCGGGCTTACCCCTTGCCTATCAACTAATGTCTTTAACGGCTCTAAAGAATTCTGTGTCCTAGTGACTGTGCTGCCCTGCATCAATCATTCTGAGGAGAGCCTATATTTATACTGGAATACAAGAACAGGTGAGAGAAAGGAGAGCCTATTTCTGCATTAACCATTGCTACCCTACTTAGCCTAGGAGTGGCTGGGGCAGGAACCAACATAGCCTCCCTGGCTACTCAACATAAAGGGATGTCCTCACTGCGCGCGGCCATAGACAAGGATATAGAGAGGATAGAAGCCTCCATTAGTCACCTGGAAAAATCCCTTACCTCTCTATCTGAGGTAGTGCTTCAGAACCGACGGGGCCTGGACTTATTGTTCCTCCAGCAGGGGGGACTATGTGCAGCCCTAGGGGAGGAATGTTGCTTTTATGCTGACCATTCAGGGGTAGTTAGGGATTCTATGGCTAAAGTGAGGGAAGGACTGGCAAAAAGGAAACGAGAAAGGGAAGCCCAAGAAAATTTGTTCGAAGCTTGGTTCAATAGGTCTCCCTGGTTCACTACCTTGGTCTCTACCCTGGTGGGCCCTCTGGTCATACTACTGCTTATCTTAACCTTTGGTCCTTGTATTCTGAATAAGCTAGTGACCTTCGTGAAAGATTGAATTAGTACAGTCCAGCTAATGGTCCTGAGACAGCAATATGAAAAGTTACCTAGCCCTGAGAATGTTTACGCTCGTCGCCTAGATGAGCATGATTCCTCATTATGAACAACTAAAGAGGGGAATGTTAGGGTACCTTTGAGGCTTGCAGCCCACTCAGCCTGAAACCGGCCATGGCTAACATGACCCAAGCTGCCACTTACTGGAACTAAGGGAGGTGGGATGGTTTCTGGGAACAGGGACGGTTTCTGGTTAATCTTGCTAAACGGTATGTGAGTCAATGAGTTAAGACACCTGGTGTTTATCAAGTTCCTGATAAGTAATCTTCAAGTAATCTTGCCCCACCACCAGGATGTGGGTGATATCAGAAATATGTGACCCCAGGGGCCATAAAAATTGCTGTGTGACCATGACTAATGTTTAAAAAATATAAAAGCAGCCTGAACTTTGCATTCGGGGTCCTTGTTGAAACCCGCTGCATCGGGCACATACCCGGACCCCAGCTAGCTGGAAATAAACCTCTCTTTGTGGCTTACATTATCCTGAGTGTCTTTTGTTCCTCTGAGGGGTGGTCGACCTCGGACCCCAACAGGTCAACTTTTCACTCTACTAAAGACTAGTTGAGATCAAAAAATGTTTCTATGAAAGAGAGCATTTACCCATGTGACTTTGCTCAAAAGTCCTAATAGTCTGTACAGTGATTTACCTACAGTGACCTGCACCAAGGTGCCTATCAATAGGTCTACCTGCCACTAGCACTTTAAATACCATCATATGTGCAAGGTCACATCACCCAAGGGTCACAGCAGATTATCTAACAGTGTGGACCTGTTCCAGAGCCTTCTTTTATTTTTAGCCCTATTCAAAACTACATTTCTGGAGTTATGTAGTAAACAGATTGGAATAACACAACAGAATAAGAAATTTCATTAGTTCTTAATGTCTTCCATGGACATTGAATAATTTTTCTGGAGACACAAATTTGATATTTTATGATTATGCTCTGATTCCCAATGACAAACAGAGGCTCAAATCAGATTTGGAGATGTTTGCAGAGATATATGATCAGGAAATTTCAAAATATCCATATGCCACTTTTTAAAGATTTAATTATTTCCAAATTAAAATAAAATGTATTTTAATCAATGCTTCTATTTGTAGCTAATGAAGAACTGTATACCATTTATGTACTAATTTCTTTAGTTAAAATAAAAAATATTGACACAGCAAATTTATTGCTTTCAGCAAATTTAGTTTATGCTGATCTCTGGAGGTGAAATACTAAGACTGAATGCAAAAAAAAAAAAAGCCATAAATTAGAATCCACAAAATGTTTTTATTTTTTTTTTTTCCAAAACAACCTACATATATATTGACAACTTAGATGAAATGGGTTGGCTCCTTAAAACTCATAAACTATCCAAGATGAAACAGGTAACTTGAACATCTCATAAATATCAAAGAAATTGAATTTATAGTCAAAAAAACAGAAGGGTCTAGAGACCCTTCTAGGGGTCGAGCATTTGCTTAGCATGCTTAGAGATCTGGGTTCAATTTCCAGCACTAAAAAAGAAAAAGCAAAACAAAACAAAACCTTCTGAGAAAGGACTCATCAGACCCAGATAATTCGGCTGGCAAACTAGCAAACATTTAAAGAGTAATAACACCAATTCTACATCATTTCGTCCAGAAAATAGAAGAAGGAATTAATGCATTTTTTGAGGCCAGTGTAATCCTGATACCAAAGCTGGGCAAA